ACAAAAAAAAAAAAAGAAAAATAAGAAATAAAAAAGAACATGAAAACAAAGATGCCCCTCACAATCCCAGACCAGAAACTACTATAAAAGGAGATGCAGCTCCAAGATCCCATTTGTTCATCAACTGCCCATCAATTTTCAAAACTTAATAATAATAAAGCCGCACAAACAAACAAACATCCAAATTTCACACACAAAACCAAATTGAAACCACCCCTCAGCTCAGCTCCCATGTGATTCGATTCTTCTGATCCCTCACAAAGATCAGATCATATCCTCTCAAAATCCCATAAAACTAAAGCAGCAGGTTCAATTCCACATCAAAATCTCCCTCCAAATCTTTTTTTTTTTTTTTAACTCAAGTACTGTACAATAAATTCACAATTTAATGTAAATTATAAATTAATGCCGTGTATTTTTATGTAGTAATAAAATTAAAAATATATATATGTCTGAGTGTGTGAATGTTTGGATGTTTTTTTCCTGCGTTTCTTTTTGACTCCCTTTCATCATATTTTATTAATGGTGTAGTCAAGAAAGTGCGGTAATTTTGAAAAGCGGAGATGTTTTCAATTCCGAGTTTGTACGAGCTGGGGACGTCTTGTCCAGATTCTTATGATCACATGTTTCATCAAGTCCTGATGAGTTCTCAAGCGGACGGCCAAGATCAAAACCCAACGATGAGCATGATGAGCCCAAAATCGGTGGCCGAGGCTAAAGCGCTAGCGGCAAGTAATAGCCACAAAGAGGCCGAACGGCGTCGGAGGAAGAGAATCAACGGCCACATCGCTACCCTCAAGGCCATCCTTCCCAACAACATTAAGGTATTTTTATTTATTTTTATTTTTGTTAATTTGTAAGCACTGTTTTAAACCTAAATATTAATTGTTGGGATATATTATAATTTATCATGGTTATTTAATTTACTTATTTGCATTATTTTTTCCATCTGTACGGCATTGATTCAGGCGGACAAGGCATCGCTATTAGGAGAGGCGGTCCGGCGGGTGAGGGAGCTGAAGAAAACAGCGGCGGCGCTGGCGAGCTCGCCGGAAGCCACCGAAAATCCGACAACGACCAGCGTCGGCACAGCACTAAATAAGGTGATGTTCCCAAGCGAGACGGACGAGCTGAAGCTGAACCGGTGCGAAGGGTCGGGGCTGATAAGGGCGAGCCTTTCGTGCGAGGACCGGCCGGAGATGATAGCGGACATGATAGAGGCCCTGAAGGGGGCGGAGGCGAGGGCGGTGCGGGCGGAGATGTCGACGGTGGGCGGGCGGAGCAAGAGCGTGGTGTGGGTGGAGATGGCGGGGGAGGCTGACGTGGCGGTGGGGACGCTGCGGAGGGCGTTGAGGGGGGTCATCGATAAGTCTAATCCCTTGGCGGCTTCCGGCCAGGGCCTGCCGGGGAACAAACGCCCACGTTACTATCACTTCTGAATTTTAATTTTTTATCTGTTCTGTACGTTCTTGGTTTGTAATTTTTATTTTTTATTTGTCCTTCTTTTTGGGTTGTAAATGGTGGGGCCCGCGCGCTGATGATGTGTGTTGTTCGGAGGACATGTAATTATCATGAGCTTTCGAGGCGTGGGATGTGACGAGAGACATGGATCGCTATCACTGGGTTTTTTTTTTTTTTTT